CAGAGCTGCCTACCACCAATTAGTGAGTCCTCGACATTATGGTCGAGCCAGGATTCTTGAATATAAACAACACAAGTGTTACGGTGGATGCGTGAATAAGAGTGTACGTTAGATCCGTCATCTTTGCGAAGAGAGACCGGATGTTCGTGCTGACTAATGAAGGCATAGTCATTTTCGATGGTGGTGTGCGACTAAGCGCTGCCGTCAGCCACCGCGCTTGCATTTCTTCATTTTAGTAGGAATCCGAAAATGAGCCGACGAGGGCATGAAAGGCACAGTATTGAGATGATCATGTTTGAAACTCATTAACTGAGAGCGCGAATAGACCTTTCGAGTGGTATTCACGAAAAAACAAAATAATTCCGAAAGGGAGAAAATGTAGAGTAGCCAATCGGAGGGCGTGCCAAACATCTGTAGAAAATCGAATGTTTCGAAACTTGTTGACTGAATCCAGACTGTGTGCCAAACAAATCATAGTACAATAATCTTTATGAAAAAGAAAAGCATTCCATGAGTTGCATGTGGGCGGAATAATGCCAGGTTGCCCAGATCAAGGCAGGTGAATTTTACTGAGGAATCCACAACCGGAGCCTTTGGCTAGCTAAAGCCTGACCCGCAAGGCAGCTGGGCGGTGTGTGAAAACCGCAATCCATTGGGGGCGGGGGTCCACTTCATCGGATCATACGCCCTTTGGAAAGGGTCAGACGTCCAAGGTGCCCAATAATTTTGGATCTGATTCGCCTAAAACGGTCTGACTACAGTTTGTGCGTCCAGTATTCTGAGTTTCGGCTAAAGAATTGTGGGTCACAGCTAAAGCATTGCAGGTTCAAGATAAAGCATGATGATGTAGTAGTGAAACAGCACTAAACGGTGCTAGAGGGTACTGTTCCGTAACCCATTCTCTGGAAACCCTACAGATAATATCTATGACGGTGACTTATCCCTAAACAGGAATTAGTCGCGTAAGAGTAACCAGACTGAGCGAGTGAGTGAACCTAGGATAAACTCTCGAAAACCAGTAATACGATAATCTACTTACCCTACTCAGCTGCTCTAAGAAGGAAATCATTTGCAAGGTGAAAGGATGTAAATTGTGAAAAATGCACGGAGGGAGATAAAATAGAGCAAGTGCCTTCTGTCATTATCGAGCATGACAAAAACAACGTGTAGTTTGAAGAGNGTTCAAAATAAATATTCTATATAGGAAAATCATGTAATTCAACTGATATAACATCGAAGGTCAGAGCTTGTCCGGTGAAAACAGGAAACTATATACCCAATGCAATTCGATCAACTTACTTCCTCTGTGGTCTCCGGAGGAGCGAAATTCGAAGAGTCACTTCGACTCCAATGCGAGAGTACATATCGCTTCAGAGTGACACCGGCCAATTGTCTCATGGCAACAGCGACTTGTTCATCAGCAATCATATTGGCCAAGATGACTGGATAAGCTAGAGGGGTAGAAATACCACAAAAGTACGATCGTGTGTGGAGGTATACGGAGGGCCAGAACGAACAGTGAACGGGAGTTGAAGCTGAGTCGTGGTGAATGGGTTCTGCCTGTTTTAAAACCCGCTACGAAATGCATTATGGATCGTGGGAGTGAGGGAATGAAAACTACATAGTTTTCCAGACACTTTAGATCTAATGTAACTCGACAACGAACAGTTGATGAATGCTGTTTTGATTTTCTTTTATGAATTAAGTGCCCGTATTATTAAATCGTAATGAAACTCCTTTATAAACTGTTCAGCAGTGTAAATCCCAGGGACTTCAGGTTAGCGACGGCCGCTGTTGTTCGAGGGTTGATGTCTTTCTACTGCCCTTTTTTTGAATATACAAATGCACAGTCAACTTTCAGGAAGGGGGCTGCGGCTATACAAAGGCTGCCTGGGAAAATACAGAAATAGGGAAGACGGGCGGCGGTGGAGCGGTTCGAACCCGGGACGTCCGGGTCACAGGTCGATGAATTCCCACTTGCTTTCCTTTGCTGAGGAAGTCCCATTCGCTGCCTTCTTTAGTAGCCAGATTATCCCTAGTCAATTGGGAGGGCGAAATTTCGACAATTTGTAATATTGGTTTTGTACTGCTCCCGTGACAGTGTACCATATATAAAGCCATACAAAAAGCTCTTGCTATTGGTTCTGAACTACTGTTCTTTAGATTGGTAATGGTCACCGGAGTGGGTAGGCAGGGGAGTGTTTATACCTTTCATTTTCGTTAACCTCTCAATGCCGATTGAAGTGAGGAGAATGAGTGACCACAAGAGTGACGTGTACCAAAAACAGAGCGTAGCGGATTTTGTGGCAACAGAAAGTATAGTATTAGCAACAGCGATAGTGCAGTGCCTGAAAAACTGATCACAAAGACTGACCAATAGCAAACCTGAGATATTTCGATGACCGAGATTCCGGACAGTGAACCCTATGGGAACAAACTAGTGCTGATTATACCGAGTGGTGTGGATACTACAAGATAGCTAACCAAAAAATACTTTCAGTTACACGGGAGGACAAAATTAGTTAACCCGTCCGCCCCAGTCGTTTCAATTTCAACTTTCGAAGGAGCACTGAAACGAAATAATGAGGAAAGATTGGGGAAACCGGCACGGGAAACGAGAAGGATGCGCTCAGAAGGGTGGCGGTTATTAATGATAAGTCTAGACTGACTAGAGCTATTCGAGAACTGGTTGAAGTTAAACTGCTGAGATCGTAGTAATTCGTTTCTTTCTTTACCGTTTCAGCACGTGCAAAAAGATCAACAATAATTCATGGATACTATAGACAAAAACGGAGGTCCAAAAAATAGAATCTGTAAGAACAGTTGACGCTAACAAAAATGCGCCTAAACAAGACAGGAGCATGCAAAAAGGTTAGAGACGAAGAAGCTTACTTTCAAGCACTTCTAGAGCAGTCAGATTCTGTTCGGCTAACCGGCGATCGCCTTCTTGTTGACCGAGCACCACAGAAAAAGCGGAAAGTACCGCTGTCGCGGTGGCATCCATGGCTACAATGTGCAAGAGAGAGAGATCAACTGGTGTAATAAATTCGATAGACTGGGGAGAGGAAGATAAACGAACAATCACATTCAACGTTTACTAGACAACAAATTTGGTACCGATGGTTTCTTACGATGTCCGTCAATTCTGAACTTAATGATTTTTTTATGTTTAGAGTAGCAAGCTTGGATTAGCCCATTCGATTGTTAAGAGGCACCAGGCATTCCTGATGGTCTTGGGTGTGTTTTACTCCTTGGGAGATCGTTAATTCCCCACAAGTTCGTGCATCTGCATGTGATGGAAATGTTTGTGCTAACTGAAAAAGTCCTGACAGGGACAAAAAAACGTACGCACTGCTGACGAGTCTCAAGCAGAACGAAACAGCTGTCGAGTGATCTTTGTCGGTTATCACGGACATTTCCATTAATATTCCTACTTTGTCTACCATGATAAAATACCAGTAGTAGGAGTGAATCTATTTTTTTCTTTCCCTTTTCTCTTCCCGTCTACCTGATTACAATCAGAAGCCAAAACATAAAAGGAGGCTGTCAGGGGAATGTTTCTACCATTAGCCAATATGCTGAAAAACCATGCTAACTGTAAGTGACAACCCCGATCGCAAGGCGATTTATCGTGCAACACTGTCACACACAGT